TAGAAACTGGTCCGATCCCAAAATCAATATGGCCGCCACAAGCCAATCACTTTTTGCCATTGCATAAATGTGCATTTATATCACTAGTGAAGTATGTTAAACATGTTATACATATCATGACTCAACATCATAACTGCCAAATACAATATGGCTTCCAGAGGTCACCAAGGTCGGCGGCCATTTTGAATTTGATTTTTTTTTTATACTTCATGAAATGTCCTGGTTTTTTAATCTCTCTAACGACAATGTCTTCTCATGTGCTATTACCGGCTCTAATGCTTGGCCACCACCTTTATTGCTGCTTGCAGCTATATTTATGATTCCGCAGCTGCTTTCAAATGCCTTTAACAAGTGCTCTGTTTGTCAAAAACTAATGAAAATTTGCACAATGGTAGAGCCCTATGCTCTGCAGAGCTTTCTACAATATAAAAGTCAGGTCATATGATTTGGCAGCCATCTTGGTTTTTGCGACAATTTTTGCAAATATTAAAAAAAACCTGCTTATCCAGAACCGCTAAAGCTACAGATGTACAACTTGCTATGTGAGCTCATGCTGTGCTCTGTTATCTTATGTGTTAATTATAGCTATATTGGTTTGGCAGCCATTTTGGATTTTGCAATATTCTGCAAACAACTTAAACTCTGAAACCATTGATCAGAATTATTCACATCTTTGCACATATGTCCAGTGCGACCTCTTCTACCACGGTTGTAGAAACTGGCCCGATCCCAACACCAATATTGCCGCTGCAAGCCAATGATATTTAGATAGTGTTATTATTGTTATGGCCTATTTTTCAAAAGCCTATAAATAAGCACACTGTTACTCATAAACTCATGCAACTTGGCCCAATGGTAGAGCTCTATGCTATGCCTAATCTTTTGCATCATAACGGTCATAGGTCACATTGCCTGTCAGCCATCTTGTTTTAGGTGACGATATTCTGCAACATATTCAAACATCTGTTTCTCAGGAACTATTACAGGTACAGATCTACAAATTGCTATGTATAGTTATACTGTGATCTGCACTCATAGCTGATCATTACAGGTCAATTGGTCACATGGTTCGGCGGCCATATTGAATTGTGTCAAATTCGACAAAACAAATCCTTTTATTTTGATGCTCTTTTTTTCAAATGCTAATTATTACCCCACCGCTATTTAAAAACTCATGAAATTTGGAACAATGGTAGAGAATGGTGCTGTGTTTATTCCTTGGCAACATAATGGTCATAGGTCACATGCTCTGGTGGCCATTTTGGTTTAAACACACCTATTTCTGACATTTTTCAAACATCTGTTTTTGTATAACCGCTAAGGCTACAGATATACAAATTGCTATGTGAGGATATGCTGAGCTCTACAGTCATATATGTTTATTACAAGTCATGTGACCGCATGGTTTGGCAGCCATTTTGGGTTGCGCAATATTGTGCAAACCACTTAAACTCTGAAAACATTTATCAGAATAACTCCCAACTTTGCACATTTGTCCAGGGCGACCTACCTGTCTTATCTCTCTAACTGCAATATCTTCTCATGTGCTATAACCGGCTCTAATGCTTGGCCACCTTTATTGCTGCTTGCAGCTATATTTATTATTCCTATGCAGGATTTATGTAGCACCAATAGTTTGTGCAGAACTTTACAATATAAGGAGGACATGGCAGTTACAATACAAATCAAGACAAAATGCCCATGAGAGCTTACAATCTAAAAGGAAACCATAGCTGCAAACATTATGTTGTAGGATGAACTGCAATAGTTCCAATATGAAGGTGTTATATTGCATTTAGTTGTTATTGTTCTCTGTTCATATAAGATCTTGATTACCTCAATTGCCTTAGAATGAGGTATACTGCTAAATAAGGCCTCTACATCTATGTGAATTAATCATGCATTATATGACAAGTGTAATCCTTCAATTAACTGAATATTTTTATTACAAGATGGTAAACCAGACACATGTCATGTGTGACCTCAGCTGTTCATAGATCACTCTTCTAGTGTTTCCTGTTAAACTATCCCTATTGGAGACAATTTGTCTTCGGGGATGGGTGGGTTAAATTCTTGAGGGTTTCTGAAAGGGAATGTCATACTCATGAACATCCACATCTGTTAAAAAAAGTATATTGTGATAATAGGCTCTGTCAACATTTTCATAATATTCTTAATTAAATTGTTGAACCATGGATCCTATACCAATCCCTGTTCTCCAACATTTTCAAGCACATGCTCTCATATTGTGAGATATCCATGATAACAGTGTTACCACCTTACCCAAAGGTTATATTATATCCACATGATTTTTGTTAGTTGGTTAAGGGCTTGAGTCTGTTCTCAGGTTATATTATATACCCCCTGGGTATTCATTGTTGGCTTCTCAACCTCCTTAAAGTAAACCTAAACTCCGGAGTTAAACCTTAAAAATGTATTCAGGTACCTTAACTATTAACAAATATGTAGTTTTTTTGTGTATCACTCAGCTGTAGATCCTCAAATCATCTCTGAATTTGTGCTGACACTGTCCTTCCTTCTGGAGGGTGGCTACTTTTGTTCTGCATGGTCCCTGTGTGTGTTGTAAAGTAGTCAATGCTCCAAGCTCGCTCCCGTGATGGGTTGCAATCTTGATAAAAATTAGTAAAGTAAATATGCGATTATAGTCTATCATGGGAGCTTGGAGTGGTGGCTGAGGATCAATAGCTGAATAAAACACAAATAAGCCACATTTTTGTTAATAGTTAAGGTACTTGAATGTATTTTTAATATATAACTCCTGAGTTTAGTGTCACTTTAATAGCTTGTTGTAAGAAAGCAATTATGCTGAGGAAAGCATTTGATATCTCTTTTTGAATTCTCTGAACACAATTGTTTCTTCTACATTCTGCAGATATTTATCCAAATCATTATTGTCATTTAATATTGTCGGCCCACCTTCATTTACTTATTCCACTGATTTCCCTAGAGCTTTAACATCTCTATTAATGAATTGTTTCCTATCGTTAGTGTAAATATCAAACTTTCTACGTATTATCTTTGTGACAAATAACTTTCAACATGAGGTTGCTTGCAAATAAATTGAAGTCTTTGATTACCTCAAATTTGTCTTCATTTTGATGTGGGCAAATGTCCTAGTGCTAATACTTGCATTTCTGTTTTTGATAATGCTTGAAGTGTTTGTAAACTCTAATGATGAACTTCTCTTATTTGCTCCCCTTATGTTGAGTGCATTTTTGCCAGGGTCAACAGATATTTTTCTGTACTTGCAGGTTCTTTAACCGTCTCCCCGCTGGCCGTTGTAAAAAAACGGCCGGCCAAGAGCTTCCTGGATGTAACAGGCCGTCTAACGGGAACTCTGCCAAATTTAAAAACAGGTGGCGATGCCTGTTTTCATACAAGCGATCCGCCGACTATAGAGCCGGCGGATCGCTTGTACAATGTCCTGATATGTGCGCCCTCCCCCCGCTGCCCCCCTTCCGCTGGTCCCAAGCTCCCCTGTGCCCGGTGCAAGCCTGGGACCAGCATGGTGGCTCTGTGACAGGGGATCAGAGGGAGATCGGTACACGATCTCCCTCCAGGCCCCTCTCCGGTGTCAGAATACGGAAGTGATGTATATTACATCACTTCCGCATTCTTGTGTCACTAGCTGGTGAGATGCTGATGAAGCAGATTTCTGCTTCATCAGCTTCTTTGGGGGGTCCTAGGTGACATTAGGGGTCTTGGAGACCCCTGATGTCTCCATAACGAGGACCTGTCACATATCTTTGCTATCACGTAGGGGGTTTCTTAGCCCCCTATGTGATAACAATAAGGTTAAGGAAAAAAAATAGGAAAAAAAAATTAAAGTTGCAAAAAAAATTAGTCACACATGAAAAAGAATTAAAAAAAACAATTTAAAAAAAAAAGTTTACACCTTACATACACGCCGACGATTGCGCCCCTTACGCCGCACATGTTACATATCGCCATGGACGTCGCAGTGAGAGCAATAATTCTAGGGCCATTGAACACTGATAACACTAAAGCTTTTAAAGCGTCACCTATGGTCAATTTTGGGTATGGTAATTTTTTGCGATTTCGCGGGTGCGTGCAATTTTAAGGCTTGACATGTTTGGTGTCTATTCACCCGACGTGACCCCGTCTTTTATATTTTACCAAAAAATTGGGTAATAATAATTGTATTATAACATAATCTTTAAAAAAACTTTTCCCAAAAAAATTTCAGTAATTTTTCCTTAATATAGTAAAAAATAAAAACCCCAGTGGTGAATAAATGCCACCAAAGGAAAGCTCTATTTTCCCCCCAAAATGGTATAAAATTTATTAAATTTATTTCAGCTCTCCCCCCACTTCTTTGCCCTCTGAACCCCCCGCTTCCTACCCATCCTCCATCTCGCCCCCCCTCCCTTTTTTTTTCTTTTTGCATTTGTGCCGATCGGCGTTGGGCGACAACAGCCACGCCGATATTCTACATCTAAGAAACTATCTAAGACACTATCTATCTAAGAAAATGCTCTCTTGTACATATAACCGCTCAACTTAAGGTAGTAGCTTGCAGCGGGGATGTAACAAAGTAGACCATAGTATACTCTCCCCCCTGCTTGAGCGCAGTCTCCTAATTGTTTAAGTGATATCTGTTTTGAATTTCACTGGGCTGTGACCCTGTATGCAGCCTTATTGATGGCCCTGTGTTCCACCTTCACGTAGTGTCATTTGACTACCTGGTTGTATATCTTATATTGTGCCAAATAAAGAATTTATTTTAAAAAAAAAATATTTCAGTACAGCGCTGCATGACGGAATAGATGTCAGTCAAAGTACCACAGCGCTGAATACTGAAAAATGGCCTGGCCAGGAAGGGGGTGTAAACACCTGGTCTTCAAGTGGTTAAAGAAATAAAACATTGAGAAATGTATATGTAATACAGATATATATTGAATATGTTTTTTTATTTTTTTATTTTACCCTGATATACTCTTCTTAAAACAACTGTCACATATTCCATGTATTTGTGTCAGCTTGGGTCTCTTTTGTTTATACATTTTGTTAATTGAACCGCAGGGATTTACAGAAGCATTTTTGGAACATCTTTGGAAGAAACTACAGAACCCAAACAACCCTGCAATAATCAGACAAACAGCTGCAAGTTATATTGGGAGTTTCCTGTCTCGAGCCAGGTTTATTCCTTTGGTGTAAGTAAAGCATTCTGAGTTTCTACTCATTTAACAAAGATTAGCAACACATCATTTCTGCTGTAAAAATATTATCCAGTTACAAGTTTTGTAGGAATATCTTGCAGAGATAAAAAAAATCTTTAAAACAGTAGTTTTATGGCAGAATAGTTGTCATGGCAGAAATATACAAGCATTGTTGTATGCACTACATTTTCAGGTCTGTGACATATTTTAGCAGAAAAGGTGTGTACAAATGCTGTCTTTCTTACAGTATATTTGTGTTTCAGGACTGTGAAGGCCTGCCTTGATCTCCTAGTTAACTGGTTGCACAGCTACATTAACAACCAAGATGCTGGAAGTAGAGCTTTTTGTGACGTTACATTACATGGACCCTTTTATGCTGTTTGCCAGGCAGTTTTCTACACGGTGATCTTTCGACACAAGCAGCTTCTAGAGGGAAACTTGCAGAAAGGTACTAACAAACTTGTGTATTTTCAATTCCAAAGTGTTTTATTGGTTTTATATAGCGTTACTGAGATAACATTAATACATGTCAAGGTATCACAAGTAATATACAATCAAGATGAAGGAGCAAGACATTGTATGTAGAGCTTGTTATTTGATACACAAAGCGCCTCCTCGCAGGGAAGACAAGGCGTTTATCTATAGTTCACAAAAACGTTCCCCCAAAAAATTAGAAATCCCTTCTAAAAAGATTGGTTCAACACAGGTAAATCAAAATTATTGATAAAATATTTAATAGTAGAAAAAGACATATACAATAAACTCATGTACCAGAGACATTTAAAAACACTTAAAACATTCCACTGGATATATCCTGCATGATTATAACAATTGTTGCCTAAAAACCACCTGTGTGGTAAAGGACCATCTATGCAGGTTTCTGGATGATTGAAGTACTTTTCAAAAGAAACAATGTATCTGAGAATGTACTCACATATGTTGCAGTTCAAAGAGCTCGAGGGAAAATGAACCTGCTAGAGTCCTGTGTGTAAAGATGGAAGAAAGACTTCGGGAGAGGTGTCCAGTATAAGACGATATTACTGTCAAAGAATGTAGCTCCTCAATACAGGCAGGAGCTGCGGATGCCCCTCTCACAGCACTTTCCAAAGGCACAAGATACTCCGTGGGTTTCAGTGAATGAAATGGGAGCTTCTTCTAAGATTTTGGTCTTTCGTGTGCGGCCGCACTGTGCAGAAAAAGAGAAAGACTACTTGACACTCCACGGTAAGATGCGCCTGGCAAGATAGGAGCCGGGAATTTACCCGTAAGGCGCGGGAAGCCACCCGCTAACCTTCAAAAGCAAAGGCATGATTTTAGTAGTCATCCAATCGAAACCATATCACAGTCAGTTGTGCTCCGTCACCTCTATTTCACAAGCCGGTAGGCAGGATGTTCGTTCCTAACTGGACTTGTATAGGGGATGAGCAAACAAATGTGAGTATCTCATGTGTCCAGAGAATCCAGGGAAGCTTTCCACACGTAACCCCCACACGCGTTTATAGCAGGTAGATAAGCTATCTCAAGGAGATGGTACTCCAATGTCGACCCCTGGACCACGAGGGGACCCATCCGGACAGCTGTCCCCGTACTCCAGGGCCGAGAGCGTTGCTTAACTTTAATATAACAAGAGTTCGTGAGAGCCGGTGGCTTGAAGTGCAGGAGCGCAAACCCCAGGTCCCTTGCTATAAGTTTTTTCAAAAAGAGACCGTAGGAGAAGAAAGTTCTTGGACCGAAGTATCATTAGCATAGGACAAGTCCACCATGTAACGAGAACTTCCCCTTTAGAAGAGCAACCTCTGAAGCACAGAGCTGAAAATGAGGGGTTTAGATGAGTCAACCGGCAGGGGACCATATACGATCTCATCATAGATTTGTAAGTGGTCTCCAGGGAAGTGATATTAATCGTACAGGAGGCCGTCAGTTTCCACACCTGCTGCCATTCATGAGCTGGCTTGGATGTACGAAGATCGAGCTCCTATCTATGAGTATAGACATGATCCGTTGGGGAAGACACTGAATTGAGGTGTGAATACAGTATAGAGATCAATTTAGGTTGCATAGGTGGTAACTTATGTGTTCAAAGGTTGTTAGCGCTGGGAGGGTAGATCTATTAGCGATCATAGAAGAGGCCCAATGTCTAATTTGTAGGTATCGGAAATGTTCCCTGAGAGGGATTTGTAATTGAGTTCTAAGGTCAGACCAGGTGCTGAGCGCTCCACCTCGCAGAAAGTTATGTAAGTAGCAAAAATTTGTGGGAAGACCACCATCCAACGGATCCCGCTGCCTCCAATCCAGGAACAAACAAAGGGTTGCCCAGGATGTGAAGTAGGTGGAGGTGGGGCAAGATCAGATTGCTAGAGTATTTGAGTCCCAGACGGTGAGGGTGTGTCTCATGAGAGGGCTCATGGATTTGGGGCGCAGTTGGCACGGGAGCCATGGTAATGCCTGGATGGAGATCTGATTACAGTAGAAGCTTTCAATGGTGGTCCAGAGGGGGGCTATTTGGAACAAGTTGGTCATGGGGCTATTTGGGCCGCCTGGTAGTATCTTGTTATGTTGGGAAGGCCTAGTCCGCCCTGTTTCCTATGGGCACACATAGTGAATTTGGATATACAAGGTTTTTTGGAACCCCAGACAAAGTTCGTGATGTCAAGTTGGGACGCACGGAGAGCCAAACCCAAGATCAAGATTGGAAGGGTACGAAAGAGATACAAAAGCTTGGGGAGGATCATCATCTTGACGGCATTTAGTCTGCCCAACCACGACATTCCATGTCGTGACCATGAAGACATAAGGTCTTTAAGCTGGCGGAATAGAGGGGAGTAGTTAGCTTCATATAAGGAGTCATACGTGGCAGTCAGTCTCACCCCCAGGTAGTCTAAATGGGAGTCATGCCAGAGAAAAGAGAAATTTTCACAAATGGAGTGGACAATATCCGGGCTGAGAGAGATGTTGAGGGCCGAGGACTTGGTCTCATTAATGGTCAGGTCAGATATGTGTGCGAAAGAACGTAGAACGGAAAATAAGTTAGGCAGTGAAATGTGGGGTTGAGTTAGTGTTAATAAAAGGTCATCTGCAAAGAGATTAACTTTATATTCAGTGGTGTCCACTAGTACACCGTGTACATTAGAGTTAAGGCGGATAAGATGTGCCAGGGGCTCTATGGCTAGGACAAATAATATGGGGGAGAGGGGACATCCCTGTATCATACCTCCCAGAATCGGAAATGTAGGTGAAGTGTGCTGTAGGTATCTGACAGTGGCCGACGGTGAGCTGTATAGTGCCCTGGTCCATGATATGAAGGTGATAGCCTACCTGATCTTTATGTTCAGCTTACTGATTTGTTAGGAAGCCAGGCTGCCTACCAACTGAAGCTTGCTGCCTAGCCAGTCAGGAAGCTGGGCAGCATGTCATGACCCGCCTCCTGGCTTCCTGATCCGGCCCCCAACAATGTCTGAGGGACAGTGAACTGGCCCCCCGTTTAAAAAGTTTGAGGACCCCTGTATTAGGGTGTCTAGGAAGCGATTCATTCTGGTGGCTAATATTATGGAGAGGAGCTTGATATCTACATTAAGTAAGGAAATTGGCCTATAATGTATGTATATGTGTATTTTCAATTGTTCTTTCATTGCATAAATGACGCACTTAATGTGTGTGTTTGTGGAATCAATTTATTTTAATAATTTTTATGCCAAAAGTGCAATTTTCGGCCGATATGTTTCGGCGGCCGATATATCGGTGCATCCCTAGTAATTTGTAATACTGTGTGTCATTATGTCACAGACAAAAACAGTGTAAACCAGGACCCCAGCGGCAACTGGAGCAAAGAAAGGTAGTTTGAATTAATGGACGAAAGTGTCCAGCCCCTGCTCCATGATCTAGATAAGAGGTGCCAAACATGTGGCCTGCAGGCACCTTCCTTGTGGCCCACTAAGGATCTTCCTTCCTCCACTTTCCATGGGCAGAAGAAACCTTAAGCAGCTGCAGGAAAGGTGTCAGCAGGGCTGCTGATAGGCAGCATGTTTGAAAATGCTGGAGAGTCCCCCAGGGCAGGCTATGCAAGTAACTAACCCGGCACACTACTCAGGTGGTATTCAGGAGCGAGTTGCATTGTTGAAACACTGTCTAACCACCCACAACCTCACAAGCTATCACTTATCAGTGGTGCAGGCACTGATAGGTGGAGGGCAGTCATGACCGTTATTGTGGCCCTGGCATGCAAATAGTGAAAACAGTGTGCCTGTGCATGCCAGAGCTGCTGTGGCTGCATGAGTGTGCAGTTAAAAAGTGTGAAGGTTATTGGGTGGACAGAAAGGATTTTCAGCAATGATTTTCAGCATGCAGTTGGGCAGTGAACTTGAGCTAAAGATGGATCTGTGCAGTAAATGTAAGCTAAAGTTATTCCATGAATTTGAGCTCAAGAGGGTGCTGCCCAGTGAAGCTGAGCTAAAGAAGGTGCTACATAGTGAAAATGAGCTAAAACCAAATACACTCTCATTTACCAATGTTGATTGAATTTACTTGTGAAGAATATAGTATCTGTCACTAATAGATGCACTTGGCCTCTCTAACCCGCCTATTCACCAGCTCCTAATAACTCTAATCAGCAAGCATAGACTGACAACATGTGTTCGCTATCATTCTCTTTCTACTATCGCCTAAAAAGTAGATGCCGCTCTTATTCGCACTTGAATAAGTGTTACACTTTCCTGTGCACTGATCTGATGCTGGGTTTTGCCTCCCATCCAACGTTCTCAGCATCCTGCCAATCTTATTTCATCCTCTGTGTTAAAAGGCTAGTGCACTTGTTGCTTGGCGTTAAAGCAATGTGTCTCCACACTAGCGGCTGGACCCCCTGTGCGTCCTGAAGCTTACTTGCTGTTCTCATAGTATTTCCTAGTATTCTGTGTCCTCTGCTCTGTGCATCTGTGTTCTTGATTCCTGCTGTCTTCACAGTGTGACTCTGTTATTTGTGCCTATGTTCCTCCATTTCATGTACTGTGTGTTGTGTGTTTGTCCTTACTGCTTATACCCATGCTCTGCTTCACATTCACACACCCCTGCTTCTGTGTCTGTTCTTCCCTATTCACCTGCACCAGTCTACGGTATTTATTCCACTCTTCAGCGCCGTATGTCTCCCACCTGTGTTCTTGTGTACTTTTAACTATTTGTTGCTCCATGTCTATTCTGCACTTCTGTGTATGCACTATCCTGTTTTATCTATTCCTCCTGTGTCCTCTGTGAATTGACCTGCTGTGTTTCCTGCTTAGCAGTGCTGTAGGTCCTTACCTGTGTTCTGATCAATTTGTGTCTGTTCTTCATTGATGTGCAATCTGCACTTCCTGCTTTCCTACTTTTCCCCTACCTGCCACTGCATCCAGTGTTGTTCAGTGTCCTTACTCCCTTGCGGTGTGCACTGGTGTGTTAGACGGCCGCAACCTGGGAGCT